GCTCAATGTGTCTGCCATTGTGTTCTGTTGGCCCGGGGAGGTATGACGCAGTAATGGCAATATTGTGGATAATGCACCAGTTCCATAATTTTATGGCTTCTGTGCACAGGAATGAGATCGTGTTCCTCCCTGCTTGTTTTGTAGAACATACAGGTTACGTTGTCTGTCATTATTCCTAGTGATTTGTTTCTTATCATTGGTAGGAAATGTTGGCACGCGTTTCAAACTGCTTGTAGTGCGAGTAGATTGATGTGTAATAACGACTCCCCGGGAGACCATTTCCCTTGGATTGTGTGTTGGTTTAAGTGTACACCCCATCCGATCAGTGAGGCATCTGGATGGATGCTGGGTCTTGGTGAAACGGGACACCTGCGCACATATTGCATGGGTTTATGCACCATTGTAGTGACTATGACTTTTGGTGGTAGTCTGTTTAGACTGTGCTTGCGTGGTATGTAGACTGTGCTCAGACATCCCTGGAGACCGCGCACGTGTAGTCGTTCGTGCTTGATCACAAAGATAGAGGTCACCATGTGTCCTAATAGTTGTAGGCAAGTGCATGCAGAGACCCTTGGACTGTTTGTGACTACGGATAAAAGAGTGGTCATTCTGGAGAATCTGTTCAATGGTAACAAAGCTTTGGCTTCTATCGAGTCTACGTAAGCTCCGATGAATTCTAGTTGTTGAACCAGAACTAAAGTAGATTTTTTATCGTTTATTTGTAACTGTAGGGTATGGAAAAATGTCATACTCTTCTATGTGAAGTGTATTGCTTCTGCTCGAATGTCACCCTTCAATAGACAATCGTCCAAGTATGGAAATATCATAATTCCCTGTTTACGTAGGTGTGCTGTTACTATGACGAGGGTATTGGTAAAGACTCTTGGAGCCGTTGAGAGTCTGAATGGTAACACCCTGTATTGAAAGTGGTCTCTCCCAACTGTGAACCGTAGGAATTGTCTGTGTGCGCGGTGTATAGCAATATGAAAATACGCATATTGCAGGTCGAGGGCTGAAAACCAGTCCCCTTCTCCCAGTGCCGGAATTATTGACTTCAGCATAACCATTCTGAATTTGTGGGTATGTATAAATTTGTTGAGTCTTGTGAGATCTAAAATGGGTCTCCATCCTCCATTTTTCTTTTGAGTCAAGAAGCAGTGGGGGTAGAACCCCTTCCCTCTGTGTTGTACTGGAACATGTTCCATGGAACCTAGCTGTACAAGATAGTTTACTTCTTCTCATAGATGATGCTCGTGAAAAGAGTCCCTGAAGAGGGATGGGTAGGTGGGATGGAGATGAAAGGGATGGTATAACCAGATCGTACTATCTCCAATACCCAGTGATCTGTGGTGATGGATGCCCACGCTCGGTAAAATGGCCTTAGTCGGTGGCCAAACATCTGGATAGGTTGTGTAATATGTGCTGGTTGTTAGGGGAGGTCGATCAGACCCTCGACCAAATTGTCAAATTGCATCTTGGCCGGTGGTGCCTGTGACGCAGGTTCACCGCATCCACCACCAAGGAGTTTGGTTGAGGGGGCGAGAATAGGAAATCCATACCTTTATTGGGCACGTAATATTTCCTATCTGCCCGTGGGGGGTATGGTAGCTGGAGTTTGCCATACTGATTCTGCAGTTCCAGCAGGGCACTATTATTGGTAGTGCTATCTTTGTCAATGATGCTGGGTGTAGTATTTTTAAGAGCTGATGTTGCTTTTCAGGCACCTCTTCCAGAGGGATGTTCTGACTTTGTGCAACCCGTTTGAATAAGTCTTGGAATCGTTTTGAGTCATCTGCGACGGTAGGCAGAGGCAGCAATACCGCCTCGTCCAAAGATGAAGATGGGTTATGGGCTGGTGAGCAGCCTTGAGTACTGGAATCCTCCAAATCCTCGGAATCCTCATGCGCCTCCGAGGGCTCAGCGGCTATCACTGCAGAAAGGCAAATCTATTGCCTCTGTGGGGTGCGAGGTCTTTGGGTCTGAGATCTGTAGACCTCCCATGGGTCCCATTGCACCCAGTGCATTGGGAATGGCATAGGTGGGCACATCCATGGGTTAGCCAGCCATAGAATCATAGAATATCAGGGTTGGAAAGGACCTCAGGAGGTCATCTAGTCCAACCCCCTGCTCAAAGCAGGACCAATCCCCAACTAAATCATCCCAAGCCAGCCCTTAAAAACCTCTAAGGAAGGAGATTCCACCACTTTCATAGGTAACCCATTCCAGTGCTTCACCACCCTCCTAGTGAAAAAGTTTTTCCTAATCCAACCTAAACCTCCACCACTGTAACTTGAGACCATTACTCCTTGTTCTGTCATCTGCTACCACTGAGAACAGTCTAGATCCATCCTCTTGGGAGCCCCCTTTCAGGTAGTTGAAAGCAGCTATCAAATCCCCCCTCATTCTCCTCTTCTGCAGACTAAATAATCCCAGTTCCCTCAGCCTCTCCTCATAAATTATGTGCTCCAGCCCCCTAATCATTTTTGTTGCCCTCCGCTGGACTCTTTCCAATTTATCCACGTCCTTCTTGTAGTGTGGGGCCCAAAACTGGACACAGTACTCCAGATGAGGCCTCACCAGTGCCAAATAGAGGGGAATAATCACATCCCTCAATCTGCTGGCAATGCTCCTAATGATACAGACCATAATGCCATTAGCCTTCTTGGCAACAAGGGCACACTGTTGACTCATATCCAGCTTCTCGTCCACTGTAACCCCTAGGTCCTTTTCTGCAGAACTGCTGCCTAGCCACTCGGTCCCTAGTCCGTAGCAGTGCATGGGATTCTTCCATCCTAAATGCATCCTAAGGATTGGCCCAATCCTCTAATTTGTCTAGGTCCCTCTGTATGCTACCCCTACCCTCCAGCGTATCTACCAGTCCTCCCAGTTTAGTGTCATCTGCAAACTTGCTGAGGGTGCAATCCACGCCATCCTCCAGATCATTAATGAAGATATTGAACAAAACCGGCCCCAAGACTGACCCTTGGGGCACGCCACTTGATACCAGCTGTCAACTAGACATCGAGCCAATGATCATTACCTGTTGAGCCCAATGATCTAGCCAGCTTTCTATCCACCTTATAGTCCATTCATCCAGACCATACTACTTTAACTTGCTGGCAAGAATACTGTGGGAGACCGTATCAAAGGCATAAGGGAATGTCCCTGTGTAACCAGTCCCTGGCACTTGTGTGCGATGGCGGAGGCTCGGTGCCTGATGGACAGGAGTGCCCTGAATAGAAGACTGCCTCTTCTAGGTCATCTTCCTCATCACTTGAAAATTGCTGGGCATTAGGTGAGTCCATCTGTACCAGTGCAATCGGCACTGGAGAACCGTCGGTGCCGAGTATAGGTGACCCAGGCTTGGATGATATCTCAATGTCAGTTGAGTGAGTGAGGAAGCGCAATGCAATGGGCATCGGTGCCGTGCTTTTATGTGTAGATGCCTGTGAGGTCGGTCCTGCCTGCTTGTGTGTGGCCTTGGTTGGTGTTGACTTAGTGCATTCAGGCATCGGCTCCGTAGCATGTGGCACCGGTGGAGGTGGCATGGTAATCGGAGGCGCTATTGGCACCATGTTCTTCCTCGGGGTATTCGATGCTGTGGAAGAGGAGGCCAATTTGTGCCTACTACTTGACTCCTTATCTCTGCCAAAGAGGTCCCAGTATGGATGGTGCCGGAGGTGCCTGGAGCATCAAAAGTGCTCACCCCACTGGCCGTCAGCACCGAAGGTAGTGATCATGCTACAGACCATTTCCTCTTCAGCAGTTCTCCATGGGTTGGAGATGCTGCCCTCTTCCTCGATTTGCTGGAGGAAAGGGAACTCGCCCTGTCCAGTAAGGAGGCACCCGGAGAATCCCCGATGGGGTTTTTCCAAGACAGACGGTGGTGTTAGGGATTTCTCCATAAGGATCCTTGTAAGTCTGAGATCCCTATCCCTCCTCGCTCTGGCTGTAAAGTTGCTCCAATGGTTGCATTTTTGAGGGATGTGCGTCTCCCTCAGGCAACGGATGCACTGTGAGCGTCCATCGGAGACAGGCATAGTTTCCTTACACGAAGTACAGCGTTTAAAACCAGGGAAGCCTGGCATTTTCATTGTCCAATTTTGTCATGGTACAAGGAGATAGAAACAAAGAGGAAGGCTCTCAGAGATGATTTTTTTTTTTTTTTTTTTTTAAATGGGGGAAAGTCTAAGTCAGGGGTCGGCAACCTTTCGGAAGTGGTGTGCCGAGTCTTCATTTATTCACTCTAATTTAAGGTTTCACGTGCCAGTAATACATGTTAACGTTTTTAGAAGGTCTCTTTCTATAGGTCTATAATATATAATTAAACTATTGTTGTATGTAAAGTAAATAAGGTTTTAAAAATGTTTAAGAAGCTTCATTTAAAATTAAATTAAAATGCAGAGAGTCCCCCAGACCGGTGGCCAGGACCTGGGCAGTGTGAGTGCCACTGAAAACCAGCTTGCGTGCCGCCTTTGGCACCCGTGCCATAGGTTGCCTACCCCTGGTCTAAGTCATTAAACGGAAACCTAAGACTAACTATGAACTAACTACTGGGAATTAAAACTTAACAATAAGATTACAAATCATTTTCTAGGTAAATTTCTGACACGGCCGTTGGAGTTCTGTCTGCAGCCAAGGACAGTTGAGAAGGAACTGAGGGGGTCAGGCCGCGCAAGCACTAGATGAAGTGTCAACAGTACTGCAAGACAGCTACTGCGCACGCGCATCCCGACTAGGCACTGCTGCCAAAAATCTCCGATCAGCGGCACTGGGGTGCACCAACATCTGAAGTGGAGCACCCATAGACACAGCACTCAAAGATCCTACGGTTTTTAAAAGAGGTCTCCCATCCAAGTACTAACCTGACCCATTCCTACTTAGCTTGTGAAATCTCACAGGATCACAAGCACAAGAGCATATAGTATAGCTACCATTATGGCCTAACATTCCCCCCTGAAAACCCGCACCCATAACATATTGAAAGCATTTCTGCTTACCATTGTTGTTTGCAAACAGCGTCACTAGTGTCTTCTTAGCACTGTCACTGTTTTGAGCCCCACTGCTACTGACCGATGTAGCTGTAGAGAGATTACCTCCTATGGATGCATGGGCAACAATCGGCAGAGGGGCAGAAACAGGCTGCAGACTCACTGAAACTGCCAGGAAGGAATTTCATAGTCACATTTAGAAAAATGACACAGAGACACTACAATGTTTGCAGAGATGCCATAACAGCATGCTGTTTGGGCATATTGCTATTGTATTACACTAAGTAAAACCTGTAGTTTCAGGTATCCTGTTTTCTAAGCCCAGTATTTCCTACCAAGCAACACAAGCAAAAAAGGCATTTGGCCAGTTCAAGGCCATTGTTACTTATTGATTATTCCCCATCCCCTACTGAATCATTTTCTCTTTGCTGATGCCACTCTGTCTGCCACAGAAATCTTCCTCTAGCTCTGCTCCGGCCGGAAGAGCATGAAGCAGATGGCACCAAAAAGCAGCAGAACTACACCCTCCCTGTTGGAGGCACTGTCTTATCCTACTCACCTACCAACATACCCAGCATCTACTAGCTTGTGGTTTCTTGTTAAAGCCTTGGTGTTGAATCCTTCCCCAAATATCCCATGTTAACAACAAGATGCAAAAAGCAGCTAGTCAAAAGAAGTTAAAAAATTAGCTGCCAAGAACACCTCCAGAGCACCGCATAACAGGATTAGAACCTAGGTTCATAGTAGTTAAAGATGCAATAGGCCAACTACCCTTGAACTAGAGCATGAGATAGTCCCTAAAAGTACCAGATATTAAACTGATGCTATTCTTGATCTTAGCCAAAAGGCCAAGAAAAAGCAATTCAAATGGCCAAACAAAAGACTAATTTATTAAATATGCCAGTCTGTTCCACCCACATGCACAGCTAGGAAAGGACTTAAAAAAAAACAACAACCCACAACACACTCCAGACTCAAGAATTTGGGATGAACCAGAAGGATAGTGAGTAAATATTTTTTTTTATTTTATTCATGTTACTTCTACTCTTGAATTTTAAATCAATTATCATCTAGTGATAATTACTTTATACCCAGCCCCGTTCAACATGTTCATAACAGCTAAAGTCAATATTTATGATGCATCATTCTTATACAAATACCTAGATTGGGTAATTATAACTGGAACTATTAAATCAAAACTGACAACACTTCTCATTTTTATCTACCTATTAAGTCCCTTTAAATTAGTCTTAACATTTCTCTTCAAGAAAAACAACAATATAATAAAAAGATATTCTAATCACCAAATTTAATTATAAACAGTAAGGACTTGAGATCCTTCAAGCATGCATGTTTTGAAGTCAATAGAACTACTTAGGGGTGTTTAAAGTTAAGCATACATGCACTTGCACGATCAAGGCCAAAATCAGTTAAAATAGTGAAATAAAGTGACTTTAAAAAGTAATTAACAATCAAACAGGTTGCCATCTTGACAGCCTGACAATCTAGGCTAGGCTAGGACATAGGAAATGCAGTCTGCTCTTGAAATTAGTGGGAGAGTCAACTTTCAAAGCTGTTGGAATGAGCATACTACTTAACAGTAACATTTGCAAAAGTATTTGTAAAATGTAAAGCATTATATATACACACATACCCACAATGTTATTTAATATATTATTCTTACATAAGTTATAAATTGGGTACTTTTTAAAACAATCACTTTGGTTGATTTAACAATAGATGAACAACTGTTAACCAAAGTTTCCTCCCCCAAAAAACAAATCATACCTTCAAATAACTTTGAAAATCTCTAATTCCACATTAATTCCATTGTTAAACTGCATTTCCTGCCTCTTAATAAGCAGGAGGTCCAGTCTGCTGAAGTATCACCAGAATGTCAGCTCCTGCAGAGCCATATGAAAGCTCTGTTCACAGTTACATATCAGAAATTTCTAACTGTTCAGAAAATTTATGTTTTAATATATCTATCATTTGATAGCTAAATATTTACTGAACAGCACATAAAGGGAAACGTCAATGATTAGTTAAATATAAATACTGTGCTATGCAACATCCGTATCTTGCATAACTCTATACTAAAATAGCTTATTACCCGTAGCAGTTTTATCAACTGAATTATAATCTTCAACAACAGAATCTTCAATCACGTCACTGATTTTCTGCCATGGCTCCAGCTCCTCCTCCTCACATTCCATAAAAAGGTCGGTGTCTGCCATCCTGTAAAGGGAAGAGAGGAAAGACCCTTTATTGGGTGTTGAGAAAACTAGATTTCGTCAGACAGTAGAAGTCTCATAAAACAAAGAATCCTAATTCCAGATCCACTAGTAATGTCCATTATTTCTTCACTGGGGTGGGGGAAAATGTGAAACTTGGAACTGCAAATTACTTTTTTTTTTCCCTTGTGTTTTAGAATTTAATCCACATGCTACCTGAAATGGATTTGTTTGTTCCCATTTCAAAAACAAAATTGTTTTTACCTTAAAACATCAGGATTTCAAATCTTTACATTTCTGTTTCAGTACTGCCAACCATAGGGGCCGACTTCCTCAGTTCCCAGGGGGTGCCTGCCGCAACTCCTCCCCAGGCCCGGCCCCGCACCCACTCCACCCCTTCCTCCAAGCCCTGCCTCTTCCAGCCCGATCGCACCTCTTCCTGCCCCCGCTCCTGCCCCCAGTGCCTATGCTGCCAACCCTGATGGTTCAAAAATCATGACTCAGAATCCCCAAATTCATCAAATTTATTTTTTAAAAATCAGGAGATTTAAAAAATAATAATGATTTTTGGTCTATCTTCTGGTTTTTGAGCACTCTCTGACTACCCTCAGTATGTGTGTGACAACTGCAGGCTGAAAACTTCAATCTTAAATGCATACAAGATGTACACACACAAAAATGCAGGCCTCTGCTCCTCAACCCTGTCCAGAATCCTCCTCAGCGCCCCACTAGCAGACTTTCACAGCCACTAATTCCCCAGCAGGCTCCTATAGCCATCTCTGTCAACACTATGCTTCCTTGTGGCAAAGAGTTCCACATGTCGATTATAAGCTAGTTTTTAAAAAAGTGGATTTCCTGTTAACAGTCTTATAATCATTTCCTTTCCAATTCACTGAATGATTTTATATTATGAGAATTGTAAATAGGAATGCCTAATTTACTTTCTCTACACCACTCATTTTCTATACCTCTATCATGTCCCCTCTTATCTATATTTTGTCTAAAGTAAACAATTCCAAACATTTTAATCCCTCCTCATGTGGAACTCTCTCCTTCCTGATAATCATTTTTGTCACTCTTCTCTGAGCTCCAATTTCTTCTACATCTTTTTGAGATACAGTGACCAGAACTGAATACAGCTGAAGGTGTACCATGGATTTATATAGTGGTAATATATTTTTCAGTGTTATCCACTCCATTCTTTACACATCCTAACATTTTGTTTGCTTTTTTGACCACCATTGCACATCAGAGGGAAATTCTCACTGAGCTGTCTACAACAACGGCCATGTCTTTTTCCTGTGTGGTTATACTTAATTTAGACCTCAGTGACACATGCAATATAACACTTATAGATTGTACATCTTTAAGTTATCTAAACATTCAGACCAGCAAGCCAGTATTAAAACAAGATGGAAACTGCTTTACAGTTTTTGATATTAGCCTCTAGCATCACAAAGAATGTCTCTTCTCAGATGGTAAGACAAGTGTCAGTATCAGGCCTCCAAAAAGCTGGTTTTCATTATTACTGTTCAGTTCTACATATAGGTCTCCAATAGGGCTTTACACCTTGATAACTCCTGGGCCAACCAAAATGGAAGCATCATTCTTGTAGAACTAGCTCTGCATTGTTTCATTTAGCAGGAATTAGGAGTCTCTAAACTCCATCTTGACATGTGGTTCACCAAAAAATTCAATTCAATTTAATGGCACATTTATGGCCATGTCTACACTAGAAAGCTTACAGAGGCACAGCTGTACTGATACTGATCGCTTGTGGAGCTGCTCTATGCCGATGGGAGAGAGCTCCCCTGTCAATATAATAAAACCACCTCAATGAGCGGGGGTAGCTATGTCAATGGGAGAAGCTCTCTCAATGACACAGCGCTGTGCACATCACCACTTAAGCTGGTGAAACTTATGTCGCTGGGGGGAGGGGGAGAGGTTTCACACGGGGATAGTGTAGACATGGCCTTAGAAATCTTTAACCCAAACCAGTAATTTCAAAAACTGTATTGCATTTTTTTTAAAGAAACTACAGGTTTTAATAGGTTACCATGAAAACTTATTTCCTAATCTTCAAGATTGCTTTATTGATGTAACCTATTGTCCTTTCCATCTACAATAGACCCACCTGAATGGGCCGAAAGCAGAACAAGTGGCAGTTCTGTAGCATAGCTAAATGAGGCTTCACACTTGCAGAAAGGATTTTTCTCCTCTTGATTATGTTTTGGTGGAAGAGGAGACTGTTGTGATTGCATTTTCTCATCTCTACTACCATTTGACAGCCATTCAATCTGATGAGAAACATTCTGAGACAGATTGGCCAAAGTAAACAGCTGACAATAGAAGACAAGCAAGAAAGTAATCCAGCTCATTTACAGACAATTTGTGTTATCAATAGCCACAGAAGTAGAGCTGACCAGAATGCTTAAATACAGACCCAGGTTTTCATTAACTTGCTGCTGTGAGGCAATTTTAATTTTATACAGTATACCATAGATTAAGTAATCATACTGGGACTAAACTGTAAATGTAACTCAGATCATTGAGCTACAGTCATTTTACTCCTAATACAATCAAAGTTCTAGCCAAACAAAAGTTGTATCTCTCACAAACTTCAGGACATAACTCACTCGAAAGCAACTGTCTAAAGGAGAATGGTTTTTAATGCATCCAAATATTCAGTCATGATTGCTTATGAGTATCTGTTTGCTGGGTGATGTTAATGGATCACAGACCTGGGTGGGGTCAATGGGTGTACTAAACACCTTCCATTCAGGCTAAATGAGGGAACCATTAAATGATCCATTGTTTACTGATAATTGAAACAATGGAAACCATCACCTGTGAACTGAAGCAGCATGGCAAGCCTGAACAGTGACTGGACCATGCTGGCTAAGGGGTCTTCCTGAAGGCTGATAGCAAATGCAGGGATTGAGCATCCTGGTAGGTACTGAGGGGGGATGTAAGTGTCTGAGGGCTGGTCTATACTTAGCCGCTAGTTCGGCGGCTGGAAATCGAACTTCCTGGTTCGATTTATCGCGTCTGGTCTGGACGCGATAAATCGAACCAGGAAGTGCTCGCCGTCGACTGCAGTACTCCAGCTCAAAGAGAGGAGTACCGCGGAGTCGACGGGGGAGCCTGCCTGCCGCGTGTGGACCGCGTCTGAACCGCGGTAAGTTCGAAGTAAGGTATGTCGACTTCAGCTACGTTATTCACGTAGCTGAAGTTGCGTACCTTACTTCGACTTGGGGGGTTAGTGTAGACCAGGCCTGAGAGAGATATGGAGAAGCACCAGAGCAGACAGACTCTCTGAAGTGGCGAAGGATACATCCAGAACCAGCATGGCCCTTAGAGAAGCCTAGGAAGAGAGCTTTTGGGTTAAGTGCTGCTGACTGGAAAGGGGCTTGGAACTGTGGACAAAAGAAACCATTTCCCGTTGTTTGGTTCCTCCTGGGTTCAGGGAAGCAGAATGTTGTAATTCTTTGTAAATAAACAGGATTGCACCAAAGATACCTGACTCTATCATCAATTTCTCCTCCTAAAAGAAACATCCCTCAGAACCCTGAAATTTGGCTACCACTTCCGTCAAAAAAGGGGTAACAATATTGACTTGAATGGGACTTCTTTAAAAAAAAAAAAGATTGGGTAGTAAGCGCATGAACCAACTCCACAGAATAAAGTTATACACAACTGTTTGCAGGACTAAAGCCTAAATAAGACTATACACAAGGAAACAATGAGTTATGGAATACAACAAATACTCTGTAATTATATTAAAAAACAGAGGAACTCAAGAGGGTTAGGTTGTTAGGGCAACACAGTGGTGGTATGTGGTTAAGCATGAAAATCAACTTGGGGAAAGTACTGAACCATTTTATCTTTTAATATTAGTTCATAGACCTGATTAGAAGCTTAACTAGGTCACATACAGTTTTATTCAGAGTAATAGCAGTAGCCCCCACTTTTATCCACTTTCATATCTGCACGATAGCAGGGTACTGAGGTAAAAAACAAACTGTTGCACATGACTAGAGATATGGGCTTCGTCTAAATATCTTTTTTTTAATCATTCTTAAAACATATGTTTATGTATCTAAAAATATAACCTGAAGTGACAACTCTTTGCAAAATTAATAGATTGATATAAAATAGGCATTAAACCTGAAACAAATATCTATTAGTAGGAAAACAGATTGTCATTACATA